ATTTTTTACTGCAGGACCCTGGTGGTTTTTTTTTTCTTTTTTAGCCACTAAAGTCCTGAAAAATTAATAGGAATCTTTAAGGAGTCAATGGTAATGCAACAAACAACCAATAATATTTTGTGAGAGCAAAGTACAATGTGGTTTAGTATCTTGCTTATACTTGCATTCCTCTGGAGAATTGTCAAGAAAAAAAATAGTATGACTTCTCTGGGAAACTTTTCTACTGCAAGTTGTAATTCAAGCAAGCTGAGTCATTATGAAGCGTGACTGCCCTTCCCTCAGGCCTCCGACTTGTCATTAAAGGGATTATAGAGCCTGTCCCTTTTCTTCATTGCAAAGGGATCCGGGTTACAGTGCAGAACTGAAAAACACTCCTGCCTGGAAATCCTTTTCTCACACTTTTTACATGGGTCATAGTGAAATTAGGGAATTCATTTTCACATTTTCAGTGTTGGCTTTGTATGATGACAAATTATATTTTCCCCTTCGGGGCTCTTTCCTTTCTGCTTAGAGACCCCAGGAACTTTTGCAGAGACTGTCCAGATTGGTAGTCCAGAAGCTCCCACTTCAGCAGCCCTTGGAGGGTTTCAGATCCTCAGCTGAAACCTCACACCCAGGGGCAGGGCAGGGTCTAGGCAGAGCGGGTAACGGGACATGATGGTTTGCTGGTGTGTGTAACATGTTGTGCTTCTTGGGAACCTGGGCTGCCGAGGCGGGTTGGGGTGCTCAGTGCTTAGAGGAAGAAGAAGCAGAGAGGGAACCAGATAGTACCAGAGAGAATGGCCTGAGATTCTCATGTGCCCACCCTTTCCTGCCCCGCCAAAACCACTCTTACTAAGGCAATGGCTTGGACACTCAGTTCTCCCCTTTCTGCCCACATTTCCTGCCCACACCCTACTTCATCCTTCATGACACTTCTCTCTCTTAAAGGGTGTGTCCAACCTCTAAAACAGTGGTTCTTAGACTTTATTGCAGAAGTGTCACTTGGCTAGTGGCTCAAGAATTTGCATTTTAAACCAGTACCCAAGCATTTCTAATGCATATTGTCCATAGACCTCACTCTGAAAAGCACTGCTTTCTAGACATTTTACTGAACCAGGACCAGCTGGAAGAACACATTATGAATTACTCTGTGGTGGTCCTCTCTTGGGCAAGGCCACCTTTTCCTCCTATACTTCATCATCATCTCAGACTGCCGTATCCTATTCCAAGGTTCCTGGCGTCCTGTGGTTTCATTTTCCTTGCTTTTAACCCAATCTTGCTTCCACATCTTATATTCATGCCAAAATAGGAACAGTTGATGGCATCTTATGGTTCCTTCTTTTCTCTTGTGTTTGCATTTCACAACAAACATTACACTAAAAATGAAGCTCTGTTGTCGTGGTTTTATTATTAGCTAATGTGTAGAGGAGAATTTGGTTAGGTGGCCCAGGGGAGGCTGACACAGGACCCCCGTAGGTCCCTTAGGAAGGAGACCAGCAGAGCTGCAGTGCGAGTGCTGGAATCCTACAGCCTGAGTCATGCCCTGGCCCTACCGTGTACCAGCTCTATGACGTTCGGCAAACCGCTTAGCCTCCCTGAGCCTCGTCTTTGTCTGCACAATTGAAGAATAGTTTTCTACGGCTGTAGTGATGAGCAAAGGACAGTTCACGTGTGCAATGCTTATCACAGTGCCTAACACATAATAAGCATCCAGTAAATGTTAGCCATTATTGTTTATTATCCTGAAGTAACCCTGGATTCAGTCACTTAATTAGCCTCTTGCCATTATGCTACAATGGAGAAGTACGTCTCCAATTTAGAGAAACGTCTCCTGTGTGTTTGCTAAAGCCTGATATTATATTCTGAGATTGATTTTTTTATCTTTTTCTTTTTTAGTGCTGTAGCCTCCCCTTATCCATGGTTTCACTATCTCTGGTTTCAGTTATCCAAGTCAGCTGTGGTCCAAAATTATTACATGGAAAATTCCAGAAATAAACAATTCATAAGTTTTCAATTACATGCAGTTCTGAGTCGTGTGATGAAATCTTGTGCCATCCAGCTCCGTGACGCCCCAGATACGATCATCCACAGGTCCTGCCTCTCAGTCACTTAGTAGCCTTCTTGGTTATCGGATCAACTTTCCTGATATCTCAGTGCTTGTGTTCAAGTGACCCTTATTTTATGTGATAATGACCCAAAGTACAAGCGTAGTGACGTTAACAATTCAGATATGTCAGAGAGCAGCCCTGAAGTTCTTCCTTTAAGTGAAAAGGTCAAAGTTCTCCTAAGAATGTTCCAAGTTCTTACTATGTTCATACCGAGGAAAGAAAGATGATCGTACGCTGAGGTTGCTATGTTGTGCAGTAAGAATGAATCTTCTATCCTTGAAATTGTGAAAAGGGAAAAAGAAATTCGTCCTAGCTCTGCTGTCATACCTCAGACTGCAAAAGTTATAGCCACGATGCATGGCCAGTACTTAGTTAAGGTGAAGAAGGCATTAGATTTATACAGTAAGATGTTTTGAAAGAGACTACATTCACATAACCTTTATTAAAGTATATTGTTATAATCGTTCTATTTTATTACTAGTTATTGTTATTAATCTCTTGCTGTACCTAATTTAGATATTAGATTTTATCAGAAGTGTATGTATAGGAAAAAGCGTAGTATATACAGGGTTCAGTACAATCCATGGTTTCAGACACCTGCTGGGGGTTTGGAACATATCCCCCACTAATAAGGGGGGACTGCTGTAAAAGGCTTCGTTTTCCATTAAAATCTAAATGCTCTCGGGAAAGAAAAGAGAGTAAGTGATTGAACCCTTATCATAAATGAGTTCGTTTGGTTTCTTTGGGAGACCAGGTTTTTAAAAGCCAAGGAAAGGCATTACCCAGAGGGAAAGTGATACAGAAGACTACTGGGGGCCTGCAGGACGAGCCATGCCTGCTTCACTGTTTGTCCCACGGTGCCGTCTGGGCATAATTCTGGAAACACATTGTTTCAGGATGAATCAATCTAGTGATACACGTACAAGAATTTTAGAGAACTGAATAGGAGATTCCTGCACAGAGGGAGCATTATTGCCTGGGCTCTGTTTCTTCATAAATAAACAAATCTTTAATTACTGGGAAAGTTTAGCCAAAAAAAAAAAAACAAAACTCAATTGTCAAAAAAGTCAGTTAACTAAAATATTACAGAAACTATATCTTTTTATTTTTCCAATCATGAAACCATTCAAACTTCAGTTGTGAGGTTTGATTCTTACTGCTTTTATTTATATCTTTCTTTATAATGCTGTGTGCTTTTTATTACACTTTTTAATTGACTGTCTTTTCTAGAGTTAAGGGATCTTTGTTTCTTTTGTTCACTGAGGTTCTGCAGGTACCTAGCAAGTACCAGGTGCATGGTAGAGGCGAAGTGAATATTTCATGGGGGACAAATGAATGACTGTCTTTTCATGGACACCTTTTAAAAAAGCAACTGATATTAAAGATTTACTGAAAAGCAATTTGGTGACTTGCATCAAGCATCTTAAAATGTGCTTAACTCTTGATCCATTAAGACCTAAAGACATAAGGAGAGTTTATATTCAAAGCTATTCAAAGAAGTTTATTGGTCATGGAAAAAATGCAATAACTTAGATTTGTTCAGAGAAATGATTAAATTATACTACATCCATAAACTGGAATGTGTGCATCCATTAAACTCGACAAGGTAGACTAAGTAAGAAAATTCACTTCACTAGCAGTGAAGCTTCAGTTTCCTCATTTGTACAGTGACGCCAATTACACTATCAAATATGGCTGAAGTAAAGATCAAGCAAGCTTCTATGTAGTAGTACTTTGTAAATGGTGTTCGTTATCAATTTTAAGAATATTTCTAAGCAATTCTAGATTTCATTTTAAAATAACTGGATTATGAACTATATTCTGACTGTTCTAAAATGGCCTCTTTTTAAAGTCCTAAGAATTTTAACAATATTAATTCAAGACAGAATACCTTAAGTTAAAAAAACTAACTTTAAAAAAAGAGAACTGATAACCAGTATTGCAAATGATCCCCTTAATAATGTGTTTCTAAGATTTTGGCATCAGGGGGCGCCAAAGAACTTTTTAGCTAGTCTGTGGCTCTGGGCTCCCTCTATTTGGTGGCCATCAATATTTATAACCTACGTCAAAGCGCTTTGAAAACATAAAACACAACTTCAAGATGTTGTATTATAGTCAGGAGGATATTAACAATGCTGAATTTACAATTAAGTCCTTCAGTTTTGAAAAGAGAATTTTAAATCTAGTATATAAGCTACCTACGGTAAGGGGACATCTTCAGGATAATGGGGCCATTATGGAGTATTATGACAATGACAATAGATTCATTTTATTATTTACTTATAATTGAAGTCGATTTGGCTAAGATTTTATTGAATGACATGTGTAAGTGACTAGAAAATTAGTAATATTAAGAGCAGGGAAATATCTAAAGATATAATTCCAGGTGTGAGTTTTAACTCTCTGATTGCTTTGCATGTAGTGGGTAATCCCTCTTTATTAAGTGATTTGATTTGTATCTCACTTAGGAGAATATATTTTACCAGAGTGACCTAAAGAGTTTAATGTAACTTTTAATAACGTTTTTCAAAACAAGGTCTAGTATGATTATGTTTTGCAATCACTCGGTGTTTGTGAGAAATGCTCACTCTTGCACGCCTCCCCACCCCCAAAACCTTAGATAGTGGACTCAGGCCCTCTGGGAGAAGGGATGCTGACCATCAGCTCTAAATGAGCACCCCCCCAGGTGGTTTTTATTGGTTTGTATGCCCTGGTATGTTTAAGAACCATTATAAAAACTGCAGTCAGCCTTAACAAACTCAAAGCAGAATGACTATTTAAATGTTACCACGTGCCCTAGAATAGTTTTGTCAATTTTGATAGAAGTCAAGGAGAAAAAATAGGTACACTTAAAAGAGGGACAGAGGTCAAAAGAAAAGCCTAAGAGATTAAATATTTAAGTATACTCACCTGTTTCAGGAGTTTTATGAAAAAAGGATGAACTCCAGGGCTGCCAGTATCTTTTACCTGTTTCTTGACATCTCACTTGAAATATATACTTAGTATTTGGCTGCAGGTAGAATTCTGACTGTTGCACATATGTAAAATTGGTGTCGAATTCTTTAACCTAAAATTGATGAATAACCATAATGAAATACCGTAAAGAAATGATGCAGCGTGCTTTTAAAACAAATAGTTATTCCATGTAGCAGGAATGTGCGGAGCACCTATTATGCTTCAGGAGTCTTCTAGACCCTGGGAAAACAAAGAGGAATGGAGTGTTTTGTATAAAAATGGTCATAAATAATCAAATATATGTTATTTAACCTTACAAGTGAAATACACATGCTTATTGTTTGACAACTCTCTCAGACTTTTAAATCTCAAGAAAGTCCAAAATGTAATTTAGTCTTAATTTTGGAACAGCTGATTTTAACAGAATTGGAGAAGAGGGTTTCTAATAGCAATTGTTTGAATCCAGTCCCTCTTCCTTCCCCCATCTTTCTTTCTCTTCTTCTGCAGTTGCATATTTAGATCAATAATTCTTCCTGCATGATGAAATAGTTTCACTTGCTAATGATAACTTTTAGAAAAAAATTACCTACAAACTGAGCTGTTAAATTGGTCCTTATTGCAGATTTATGCAGAGTCTACAAGGCCTAACGTATGTGTCTGTGTGTGTGTGAAAATAAAACAAAACATATAAGAACGTTGAACTGTGGAAATCCAATGGAAGATAAGCAAGAAAATAGCTGGGGAATAAACTTAAAATATCATTTTTCTGGGGCACTGCAACCTGCTACAAAATATAATGAAAAACAAGCCCCAGACAAGCTGGTTCAGATGGAAGAGAGAAAACGGTATTTATATAGCACCTTAGTGTGTTGTAATAAGTGGAGCTACTGAAAAACGTGAAGCACAATTGAAAAGTAAACATAAACAGTGCCTAGAAATGCATTTATTCAGCAACTAGGAGAAAACAGTTGTCATGAAAGAGACAGTTAAAACTATCAAGATTAAAACACACACACATGCACACACACAAACAAGGTATCAACTTCATTTAGAGATTCTTTTGTTAAACCCAATCTTAACATAAATCTTTAGAAGTTGCAATGCATTGAAAATATAAAAATCATGAAAATACCTGCTTTGAGATATCATGCTCCCTAAAATATATCATTTAGAGTTTCCATAGCCACATCTCTACCCATGGCCCTTGAAATTTTTTGCCCTTGTAAATATTACTGAAGGCCCCCGGAGTCTCCTAGGATCCAGAAGAGATTTTACTAGTGCCAAAAGTTAGACTTCCAAATGCACTCTGTTTCATATTAGCTTCCCCTGGGGAGGAGTTGTTATTCTCCAGTGTCTCTTACTGTTACGTTTATAGATAAGTTCTCTAAGAGGAGAAATACCCTGAAGTACAGCCAGAATTCCAAAATAGAAGGAATAATTTTATGGAATTGTTAACAGTTGTTTCTACTAAGAGGCAATCCGAGTGACTGCTTAGGGCCTTGCAAGCTCAAGATGATACTTCAAAATGACACTTTCAGAAGCTAAAATGGACGTTGAGAGAGCTGGATCTAACCGAGTGCCAGTGCAGAGGGTATGATCTCGAGTGTCAGAAATGCAACTTTATTTTTATAGCAGCAAATTTCTCTCTAGAGCCTCAATTCTGAAGGTAGGGGCCTGAACACTTAATCTCCATCAGTTTGAGGTGCTTCTTAGGGTTACATCTGAATTTCTGGGACCATCCTTGGGTGAAGGGGAGAATCTCAGCATATTCAGGGTTCTATATTCCTGACTTCTGACTCCCAGCCTGAGGCATGGCCCAGGGGGAGGAGCCTTGCTCAATAACCCACCAGTGTCTGAACTCTTCTGGTTCCTCACCAGCCTTACCAGCCTCTCTTCCCCCACCAGTCTCCCCTTCTGTCTGCCCAGGTAATGTTTATCTGGTGTTTAATGGAGGAGGGAAGTCGGGTAGGGGTAGGGATACGTAGTCATGCCTAATCACAAAGTCTCCAAGGCTTCTGTCCTATACCAGCCTTTACACTTTTGAAATGCGAAGGCTGAGGATTTGACCCTTTGCTATCTGCATACTGTTCTATTAGCCAGTCCAGCAAAAATGGATGCTTGGTTTTGTGCTGCCCATGAGCTGAGAAGGGTTTTTACATTTTTTAGATGGTTGAAAGAAAATAAAAAGAAGACTATTTCATGATGCATGGAAATGATATAAAATTCAAATTTCCATGTCAAAATAAAATTTTACTGGAATGCAACAATGCCCATTCATTTACATATGGTCTATGGCTGCTTTCATGCTACAAATGCAGAGTTAAGTAGTTGGGACAGAGACCGTATAACCTGCAAGGCCTAAATTTTTTACTATTTGGCTCTTGACTAAAATGTTTGCTAATGCCCTGGTCCTGCTTAATTTGAGATATTAGTTGCCATTAATCCATTTACTTGAATGTGCAGCAAATTTCTCTACCTTTCTATCACTGCTGTTGGCACCACTAAAGGCAAACAGTAATAAGACTAGTAGCTAATGTGTCAGAATATTGTCTCTGTGAACTAGACATTATAAATATCAATGGAAATACAAAGATGGTTTTGATTTTCAGGTGGGCATCTTTGGCTCTACCACACCTGCTACGTGGCTCTCCAGGAGGTCAAGAGGAAGAGTAACAGTAATAGCCAGCATTTACTGAACATTAACCCTTCTCCAGGCCCTGGGCTAGCATCTTACATCATTTGATCATCCCCACAACCATATGAGGTAGGTGCTTATCTTTTTTCCTCTTTTAGGTTATGATAATAACGAGGCTCAGAGAAGCCACAGAACTTGCCTAGAAATGCACAGCTAGAAAGTGGCAGAGCCAGGCTTTGAACTCTGGGGCTTGTGTGCTTAGCCGCAAGGCTTTGTGCATAGCTGCCTGCCACTTTGAAGTAAAGGACCTCCCTCCAGCAATTATCTGATGGAGGCAGAGCTGGGGTGGAAGGGCAAATCCGTAGTCCTTTGTGTCTGCCCATTCTTCTTGACTCTGACTTCCTGTCTCCCTGCAAGGGGCAAAGACAGCACTTTATGCATGACCCAGATGAAACTGACAGGGTAACACGTGAAAAACTAAGCTTCATCTGGCCATTACCGACTAGACTTGGATCATCTCTGTGAGTAGTTACGTTTAGAGGAATCATGGTAAAAAGGAATAGAACACTGATTTTTGGATTGAAACTGGTTCCCTATTTTCCAAACATTTTGGGGTACCCAAAGTGATGTTGGGCCTGTGAGAGGCACTTAGTTACTAACAGTCTAAGTTTGGAGAACCTGGCTTAAGCTCTTTCACGCCCTATGTCCTCATTTCTGTGATGGAGCTGACAATACCTATCGCAAAAGATTGTTATGAAGATTAAATGAGGTAAGAAATATTCTTTCAACTCCTTCATTTGCCTGCTTCTGACAGGTTTTGAAAAGGGAGCTCAAATTTACCTCTAAGTTACCAAGTCTCACAGTGGCACACGCAGCACCACTGGGGGGAGCAGAGAGCAAGCGTTTCAACCAGAAAACAGTTTCTGAAAATCTATGCCACGATACTGATACTATAACAGCTTTCAATTTTCTAAACATTTATATAGCTTATTACTTCCTCCTACTTATGCCAAATAAAGGGATTTCATATTGTCAACATCAACCTATAACCATGACACTACCTAGGTGTCTTATTAGAGTAAAAACTCATTAACTCAAAATCTAAGATGAGAATTTCATTTGGGTTGTCTTCAGATTTACCTAAATTCCACCTCTGCAAAAGATTGGCTGTGAATTTTTAAGCGTGCTTTAAGCATGGGGTTGCTGTGCACACAGATGTCACAATTATTTAATCAAGGAGTTCAACAGGATCTTCATTTGGTTATTGATCAAATGATGCAGAACATGGACTTGCATCTAAGCGTAACCTGTACAATTACAAGATCACATTTCTCATTTAAATGAAAAAGGGTAAATAAACAAGTTGGCATCAGGGATTTACTTTTAAAGAGCTATCTTTGGTGTATGTCATGAAATCTGTATAATTTTACCTTCATTTTCTTGACACTCTTTAAACACATTGCTCTACAGCAAAACTGATGTTCCGAATGATGAAAGCTTTGGAGTCACACTAATCACCAGAATAAATACAGATCATTTCACTTAACTCCCTGAAAACTGGTAAATTCATACATGATACATAACTCGTCATTAAACAAAGCCAGAAACTCCCTTCCTTAATTATTTTGACGATGTGGTAGTTTATTGTACTTGAAAATAATAAAGTGGCATTTCTTCTCAAATACACCAAAATTGAAATTTTTTCTCCAATCAGACTAATAGTTCAAATTAGTGAGTTTTTTATTAAAATAGTCACAGGTGCTATCATGTGATGTGCTTTTATTAATGAACTTTGTACCTCTGTCTCTCCTATGACACTTGGTAACTTACAGTTGACATTTAAGGATAGATGGTTTGTCTAGATGTTCACTTTTTACCTTATGCTGATCTAAGGCTGAGGCTATACTAGTATTAAATCTCACATTTTCAGTTGCACAATTTTCATTTAAAAGGAGACACCCATAAATCTGAAGCTCTTTTTGAACAGTATTTCATTTCCCTGGATGCCTGTTAAATTTAAGTATAGAATACCCATGATCACTGATGTAAACTTCATCCTAGGAGACACTGAATTACAGGGAGCTAAACAGATGGATCTCTCCTAGTTGAACATTTGTCTATTTAGCAAAAAGCACTCTTTTGCTTTACTCTTTTGCTTTTCTTTACTCTTTACTCTTTTCAGTAAACGTCTCTCTATTTGGAAGTATATAGTAATCATTAAAACCAGGGTGGTTTGAAGATCACACAATCAGATAAAAACCTGTAAAATATATACATCTGCTGTGGTCACTGACTGTTGGCTGGCGTTTCTTTTACTCATATATGTGCTAAAGAATAGTGAAAGTTACTTACGTTCCAAGTGTGGTTTGTTGTAGCCTTGTATCTCATTTCACAGGAAACCTTTTCAATTGATGTTTGACTATTCCAGTGAATTACAGTCTTGGGCACTGTGGTATTTATATCCTCAGCCCTGGAAATGATGGATGCAGAAGGTATCACTAGAAAACAAAAACAAAAACAAAGATCCAGCAGCTTAAAACTTTCCTAGGGAGAAATCCATATTTCTTCATCAATATTTAGACATGTTAAAACCCAAAGTGCTAAAAAAAAGTCTCATGATCAAATTAACAGTTAATTAAATTCTTCTTGTCTAGTGTATTATGTAGGCGAAAATTGCTGTTGTTAAGTAAAATTCCGTTCCACCCATTCTTCATTTCTTTTAAGTGGAACTCTAACAGTCTTGTCTTTTCCCACTTCCTGCTCCCTCATAATCCTAACTAATGAGATTAGTTATTAACTGATTAGCAAAAGTTGGCCTTACTAACAAAAGAGTGTACAAAAGAGGTAAAGAAGATGTGTATTCTTACCTGCATCTGTTTAGGGAGAAATGATGCTTTGCATCCTAAATTTAGTTCAGAGAATCTTACTTGATTAAATGTTGAATTAAGCCCTTTCACAATAATATTTTTTATTCTCTTGTGTTATAGGGAAACTTATATGAATATTTATACCTATTGTTAATTTGTTTTGTTATCTATTAAAATAAATCTGTACTTGAAAGTATAATTTGAACAAAGAGTCTCACAAGACTCTAAGACTCCAAATTATTGCCATGTTCTGTGATTATAATTTTCAAAAAGAAACTGAAATTCTGCTTTGTTATCTTACTAGTTGTTTTGTTGTACTAGGAGTAATGGTGTAACTGGAGCGTCTGTGTTTCCAAACTGTGCAAATTCTTGTAAGTTTGTTCTGTCCAAACAGAATAAAATTATTGGCACTTCCCATTTCTCCTGTATGCACGGTAGAAAAATGAATACCTATGACTTTGTTAGATGTATTATTTAACAAAGAACTCAAGAACCTGTGTGTGTGTTTTTAGGGACCATCCTTACAGCTTAGTATTCTCTATGAATTAGTTTCCTTTTTGTTTATTATAAGTTTATGTAGTATTCTTTGGGAAAATTGTTTATCATTAATGACTATAATTATCTAAAATAATATATGCATAGGTAAATGATTTAAAGAAAAATATAAAAATTAAAGATTTGCTTTCTAGTAGCACTGTCTGAAAATAGATTCCTTGGGCTAAACCTAGCATAGGACGTAAGTGGTAGTAGCAGAATTCATCTAATTAAAGAGCTTACTTATCGCACTGAACTTTTATCATCTGAATTCTGTGGTTGCTAGTTTTGCATGCTTTTGCTAGTTTAAGCTTCTTGTAATAAGAATCGGAATTCAGAGATTTCTAGATCAGGGAAGTGGATCTCCAGGGCTCTGAGACCATTTGGGACCATTTAAGCACTCCCAAGACTATAAATTGCCCACCCCCTCCTATCTTTCACCTCTGAGTTTGGCCTGCCACAGGTAGAACAGCACAAGCATTCGGAGACCCTTTTGCAGAAAGAACTATTCTGGGGAGGAAGCAAAGTCTGCTTAGTCCTCTGAGAAATGCAGATCAAAGAGTCAATCACATTTAAGATAGAGTCTCAGCACAGAGCAGATCAGTGCAATAGGGATCAAGCCTTTAGGTTTGAATGAGCTTGTATTTTTCAAATAAACATGCATTATATAATATGTACTTGCACATTCATTTGTTACCCAAGACTCAGATGTTGAATTTTTGCTCTCTTTGCTTAGATTTCAAACATTCCCTTCAGATCTTACATTTTTAAAAATTGTCAGTTCCATCGTAGGTGCCATATCTTTAGTTTCTGCATGTGTTGAAATAAAGAACCATATTATAGTTGTATGGTATCTTTCTAACAACATGTATTTACTTATAATTATTCAGTGGGGAGAATGTAGCAGCCAGCATTTTCTGTATTGAATCTAATTTCTCTATAAGAAAAGTTGAAGCATTCCTGTCATATATTATTTTGGCACAGTGTTACTGCACTATTAACTCACCCCTGCCTTTCAGCATACCTTTCTAACTTAATTACAGCCCAGATCTGTAGCTGTTATGTAGAAATTGCTACCAGGAGAGTCCCCTGGCTTCAGTTTCATAGAACAGTTCATTTATCTGACTTGCAGTGTCTCATTCTTATGAATATAGCTCATTCATAAATAATCTGGGTACTTTGTTGGGTGGCACTGTCACTGTCAACTCGTGTTTTTCAATCTGAGTTTCTAAAGGTCCATTTTGGGATACTGGGAAGAAGGAGAGCAGGAGGAGAAGGAGGAGGAGGAGTCACTCCAAACAAGAGGCTCCCCTGCTTCAATGTGAAAAGCAGATTTGGAGGTAGTAGCCAGCCGAGATGTTCCCTTTTATGGGAGGTGGGATGGTGGTTAATTATGGCAAGTTAGCAAGTCTGGGATGAAATCTGCCTCCCCTCCTTACAAGCTTTGTGCTTTGAGCAAATTATTTTATCTATTCCTTCATCTGTAAAATGGGCACAGGAGTACAATGTATGATTATGTCCAGAATTAAATGTGATTTGCATGTTACTTGCCTGGAACTCTGTAGGTGTTCCATAAATGGATGCAGTGATACTAAAGTTGTGATAAGATCACAATGATAATAATAGCAGTAGCACTGCTAATAACTCCTAAAAATGATACTGGACATGGTAACCTTTAAACATCACTTACCCACTGAGGGGAACCTGTTATAAGAAAAGCGCATGTTAACAGCCATATCCTACCTCAAAATGTAAATTTACAAAAAAGTGTAGATCATGGTCCAGAGAATTATAACTTTGAGAATATACAATACAGTGGAGTTACTGTCCATCACCATAGTCAAGAGTGTTTGTTTTCAAATGTAACATTCTGAGTGTAAGGACAGATCTTTAGACCAATCCTATTAGTTGAGATAGTTGTGTTCAGTTGAGAAGTTGAGATACTAGCTGTGCCAGAAGACCCCAGTAGTCTCCAGTGGATACCCATGTTATACCCCAAGAGAAGTGTCACATCCCCTAGCTCATTAGCCAGCAGGAAAGCTGTCGGACACATTGCACTGTACCTGTAAATAAAGACTAAGGGAGGAGTTGAGGATGCTGGCACTAGAGGCTTTTTAGCTCTCCAATCTCAACTTTCTTAATACCACCTACCCTTCGCTTCTTCATGTGTAAATTATAATATCTTCCACAAAAGACAGTTGTTGTGAGGGTTAAATAAGATAATGTGTGTAAAAGCAGTGAGCACTGAAGAAAGTGCACCATAAATGTTAGCTTACTGAAATCATCTTTGATAATAAACACAGGAATAATTGGCACTAGAATCTCCAGATAGAAGGTGAGTCACACGTGGTGCTCTCTGGCTGAACTCTGACTTTAGGGCTGGCATGTAGTTGTAAAAGGCTCAAGGGCAATTGCTTTTTACAGTTTATCTAAAGGAAAAAAACCAACTACTCTGCAAAAATTTAGTGAAAAGCTTGTCCTTGGCAGTATGGTTTATGATGGTGAAAATTTGAAAACAATAATAAGGGAATGATTAAAGATATTAATCAAAAATAATACTATAGGTTAAATTAATAGAAATGTTTATTATATATTGTAATTTTTTCAAAAGACAATTTCTAAAATACCCGAAGCAAAAAGTGTTAACTTTTGTTGAATCTGACTGGTGTCCATATGTGGATGTCTACATGATTCTCCACAGTTTTCTACTTTTTGGATAAAACTTTTCAAACAAAATAAAAAAATAAAACATACGTTCCAAAACAGTGTATACAGCACAATGCTTTAGTATGCTGTTCTTCTCACTACACAGCATTCATCACACTTTATTATAACCCTTGTCTCTTTCCATCTTCCTTGGTAGATTGCAAGATATTTAGGACAGCGAGTTCCTTGTCTTATTCTCCCTGGCCCTTAGAACAATGCTTGAACATAATAAGAAGTTCTCAAAAAAATATTTGTGAAAACACATACCCCCATGTAGAAATAAGATTGGAAGGATAGATAACACAGTGGTAGCCTTGACTTATCTTTGAGTTGTCTCAGGCAGTAGATTATGGGTAATTCTCATTTTCTTTATGATGGTCTTCCAGAACTTCAGGGGAACTCCTTTCAGATCTAAACTTCATTTGACTAGGTCAGCACATTAGTTGTTTATTTGTAAAGCACTGTAGAATTTCTTATTCTTTACCTATATCATCCAGGTGAATTTGCAGTGGTTTCGACTTCTCCACGCCCAGTACATTTGCAGCTTGGACCCAAACCAAATACTTCTTGCCACCTTGCAGTGAATCAGTGGAGATGTTAATATAACTTGAAGTGAGATATTGTTGTTCTTCTTCTGTCTCTAAACTTTAAAAATGAAAAGATTATGATCACTAGTTTTGTCTGGTTTGAATTAATTATTCCTTAAAATGTTTATACTACCTTTTTAGCTTGCTTTCAGAATGTAAACTTTTACTTAAAATAAATCAAAATCAGTTTCATTGTTAGAATTTTTAGGATGGAAAAAGATATTTTGGAATTTTTAAAAACATAGTGAAGACCATCCAGGGCCACAGTATGACTTTCATGGGCCCTAGGCACTTTTGCCTCCATAGACCCCTTCTTCCATTAAGATAAAAAAGTTTCTATGTGTGTAAGTGTGTTTAATATACGCATATACATTCATATAGATTGTTTTACAACTGTTGATATAAAAGCAAAAATGTTAACATTACATATTAAGACATTTTCTTTGACCTAATGGTTTATTTTCTCCTATGATTTTAAATGAAACTAAACATTTTCATCGACTCCTGAAAGTATGGCGGGCACTGTGTCTACTGGGCCTATTTGGGAAAGTCCACTCAGGAAGGGGCTTGAACTAAATGGGAAGGGGCATTGCATAGGGGTTCCATGCAAGGGCTCTGTAATAAGCTTTGCTCACTTAATGCTAAAGAAGAACTCAAATGTGAAAATAAGAGAATGGCAACTATGGGTAGTAAGTAGGGCATCTTTGAGTATGTTCCAGTTAGAGAAAACCACATACGTGTTCTTAAATGGTTTGTGGCTAATTCTCTTATCACACGTATTGAGACCACAAGTCAAAATGGAAATGTATTCTCAAACTGACATTAACCATAATTGCTAGGTAATTTAATTTTTCTTTTAAAGTCTACCCTCATATTAGCACCTCAACCACAGAGCACTATTTTAGATGAAGAATCCAATCATAATGACTAACTGTACTTTAGGACTGTTTTTGCATACATTACAAAGTTTTAAATTTCTTACTTTTATTTTTTGTGTGCTAGTTAATACATAACAGATTACTTGAAGGGAGTCGGCATGATTTATATTTTTCTGACATTTTCAGTGCACCTAGCCCTAGTTGTGGTTAACAGATTTTCATAAACACTGCTGATTTATGGTGATAATGATGAATGGTGTGTTTTGTTTATTTAATCATTCATTCAACAAATATTTATTTAACATCTACTATGTTCTAAGCACTACTTCAGACACTGAGGCTACAACAGTGAACAAAACAAGTGAAGTCCCAACTTTTGTGGAACATACATTCTGGTGGAAACAAATAAAAATAGATATGTCTTGTAGTGATAAATATTCAGAAAGAAAAAGAAAGGTGGATAGGAAGTGCTAGGAGCAAGTTTGGGGGAATTTTTTTTTTTTTTAAGGGGAAGACCTGAGAATCTGAGAAGGTAACACTAGAGCAGTGAAGAATCAAGTCTTGTGGCTTTCTGGAAGAAGGGCATTCTAGGTAATGTGCAAAGGCCATGAGGCAGGACCTTGCCTGTCCTGTTCAAGAACAGTCAGGAGGTCAGTGAGGCTTGGTAGAGTGATAAAGATGGAAAGGGTTGAGATAAGAGAGTTCTGGAGGAGGGGGAAATTTAGAAGGCATTGTAAGATCACTTAGAATCATTGAAGGACTCTGGCTTTGACATCTGAGTGAAATGGGAAATTTTGAGCAGAAGAGTGACATGTTCTGATGTCCATGTGAGAAAAATTACTCTGGCTACTTGTGAATAATAGATTGTAGGAGGGGAAAGTTGGAGGCTAGAGCACCAGTTTACTACCCCAGATGAGAGGTAATGTGGCTTGGGCCAAGTAGTGAGAAGAGGTCAGCTTTTTAAAGGCAGACCAAGTGGGTTTTGCTGATCATTTGAATGAGGCTGGGAGAGGTACGTGACAGAGAAGAATCCAGGAGGGCGCCAATGATTTTGACCTGAATAATGCAAAGGATGGAGTTGCCACTGACTGAGATAGGGAATGCAAGTCTAGGGAGAGGAAACTGGGTATTCGGTTTTGAAAATGTTAGCTTGAAGATACCTTTCAGACAGCTAAGAGGAAATGTTGGGTAAGATGTTAAATATTTGGTGGCTACGGTTCAGGAGAGATATCTGGACTGGAGATATAAATTAGGGAGTTTTACACCATGAACTTGGATGAGAGATCTTTTAGATAATGAGTATAGGTAGAGATAGTAAGAGATCCTAGGATAGAGATCTGGGTCACTATTACTTTACTGGAATAAAGAGGAATTGGCAAGAGAGACTGAAAAAAAGCATTCAGGGAAGTAGAAGGAGAACCAGAAGGGACTGGCGTCCTGGAAGCCAAAAGAAGGAAGTAAAAAGCTAAGTTAAATGCTCTCAGTAGTAAATCCTCCTGATAAGGAAGATAGTGACTGAGAATAAACCATTTGGATCTGGCAGTGGAGAAGTCATTAGTGACACTGGTAAGAGCTGGAGGTGGAGGGCAAAAACTTGACTAAACTAGATTAAAGAGGGGATGAGAAGAGAGGAGGTAGAGGCAGAAAGTACAGACAACTGTTTTGAGGAGTTTTCCATGAAAGGGACAGAGAAACAGTTTAGTGGAAGGGAGGGACCAAAGGAAGGTTGTATTTTCAAGATGGCAAGTTCTACAGCACTTTGAAAGTTGATGGGGAGATCCAGTAAGGACAGAAGAGGTGATGATGCAGAAGAAAGAGAAGAAAATTGTTGAAGCAATGTCCTCCAGTAGGGCGGACGGGGTGAGATCTCGCACACAGGTGGAGAGCTGGCCTCGGGGTACGGGTGGTTCATCCACAGGAGTAGAAGGAAGACCAAGTGTGGGGGTACAGATGTCAACAGGTCAGCAGGTGAGGGAGGTGGTGGTATTTCTCATTACTCCTGTTTTCTCAGTGAAATAGGAAGCCCGTCATCAGCAGAGAGTGAGGAGAGGGAGAAGGTGTTGGGCACCAGAGATGAGAGAAAAAGTAACGAAGTCGTTACCTGGCGAGTAAGGGAGTGACTTGGCCAGTGAAATGTAGTAGGACCACTGGGTGGCCATCTGGGCCCAGCTGAGGTGAGTGGTCACGAGTATAAAGTAATATCAGTCAGTAAGTTTGTGTTTGCCCCCAGTCGCAATTAGCTCTCCAAGCACAGGTGCAGAATTGGTGTGAGGAGACGCATTTTAAAACACGAACTGACTATTGCGTCCTAAAAGAATTACTGAAACATAACATCACAGCCTTAAAAACACTTGGAATTATATCTAAGGACTCTCTCTGGTTATTAGGAATATGCATATGGAGAAGAAGATGTGGCAAAAACAAGCAGGCCTTATGAACTGGCAGAGGAGGCAAAAGATTTTAGAATCTAAAATGTTCTCACTAAAATTAAAAGATCCTATAGTACCTGAAAATTCTGTCACTGGTTTCAGTCTAAGAAGTTATGGGCTGGTCATGTACAGAGATGATGTCTATTAAAAAAAAAGTCTCTAGAGTTTAACATAGTTCTGAGAAGACATGAAATACTAAATAAATATTTGCTAAGTCGACTTGAGTGGAATAGAATGAAGGGCCGTCATGCACTTATTTTCTTGCAGCCAGTATTTGTTGAGCAGAAGGCACCATGCCAGACATTGCAGGAGTTTCCAAAATAAAGAAACAGCATATTTACAGGAAAGTGTTTTGGGTAATGGGATAGCAGTAAGTAGATATTTATTAGCAGAGGTTCATTTTTTTTTCTATTGCCGCCCATTATTGGTACATAGCAAAATACAAAGGAGTTGAGAAGGGTATGTGAATGGCCATGCAGCTCTGCTGGTGGGGTGACCACAGAGGTACTGGGGAGAAATAAAGCTCTGGAAAATAAAGAAATAAAGACGCAATTCCGCTACAACTTCCACCCGACACCAGATAGAGGCCCTGATGGCCCTTACGCTACATAGAGGAGATGCCACTTCTCTGCCAAGATTGAAACAAGTGGGTGGGCTGAGGTGAAATGCCTTTCTGTGTATGTGATTTTACTGGCAAACAGAGCTACATGAGTTGGAAGTGAAACTTCGCAAATGCTAATCTCTACCTATCTGCCTAAGTGGAAAATACCTTAACAGCCCAGGATCTAGAAGAGCCTCTTTAAATCTGACACTGCCTCCACCACAGACTTCATTATGTTGCCTTTTTCCTGGGGAGGAAGGCCTTTTTCACTGTTAGTTAGAAAAATGGGTGTCTCTTCTCTAATTTTTTCAACTCATGCATGTGTGTTTAATTAATTGTAGGACGAACAGATACTTATTTTCTTTTCCAGTTTGTCTGTGTTTACAGAAGCTCATTCTTTGAATTTGCTAGAGGAGAACATTTGTTTTTATGCTAACCCTACACATCTTTTATGTCCTCTTTAAAACATGATAAAATTGCATTAATCTGGACTCAGTTAAGAATTTGGGTTAGGTTTGCTTGAGTTTAGCTATAATTTAGTCTTGGTTTTAGGAAAAACAATAAAAATCTTTTAAAATATATAGGACCTTATGTTATTATTATTTGACTAGACTGTGAAAGGAGGGTGCAGGCAATGTCTATTTCTAGTTATCAGAATACTCACTCAATTAATGTTTATTGAGCACTTATTATGTGCCAGGCCCCATTCCAGGGTCAAGCAATATATGGCTGAACAAAACAAACAAAAATTCTTGCCCACATTGAATATACATTTCTAGTTTGAATAAATGAGTGACTTTGCTATTGACATATGTACAACAGCTAGAAAATTAATCTTACTAGAGCACATTTAACATTCCTTCTAACTAGTCATTGGTCCAAAATTATTACTACTTGAAAATGATGTAAATAAAATTATTGTTTATAATATCCTGCAAATGGTAATTTTTAATGGCTTTACATTAATCTTTCCCAAATCAATCAGGTTTTGATTTTAGAACAAGTCAAACAGGCCTAGGGAATCAGTCTTGAGTTTCACCGTAATACTCTAATACTCTAACATTACCTTTTTTATCAGTTTCTCAGTATTTCCTATTTGTGGGCCATTTCCTAAAATTTGCTTTCTTAAATGTTTTATAACACTCGATCTGGTATTACTTATCCTCATTGCACAGGAAGCTGAGGCTTAGCAAAGCTAAATAAATTTTCCAAGATCACCTGGCTAGCAACTGTGGCAGATACTGTTAGATGGCAGTACTGAACTCCATCCACAATGCCCTTCTCCCAGGTTCCCATCCAGATAGAGTAGACATGTAACTCAGTTCTGGCCAATGAGATGCAAGTGGAAGTCCATGGGAGAATGTCCTTTTCCCTTCACCACTTTCCTGCCTGAAAACTGGATGAGAGGCCTGGATGTGCAGCATCTGAGAATTAAGGCCAATACACTAAAGACTGCAGAGGAGAAAGGTGGAAAGAGGTTACGTCCTTGAGGGTATCATTGAATTAACATGCTAACTCTACACTGCCTACCACTATGGGCCTGATATAAATAAAGCCTTGTCTGTTTAAGTCACTGTGCTTGGGTTTTCATATATTTGTACCATAAAAGATACCTTGCTGTTAAGTCTCAGAACTGGAAATCAAACATAAAACGCTAAACCCCCTGCTCTTTCCAATGGATATCTCTGAAAGCTTCTCTTTAATAAATCTATTCTTAAGACTTTCAAAGTGGCTTTTTGAGTACTGAAAACAACCTCAGTCCTCATAGCTACTGCAAGTATTCCTCACTTGATAAAGTAGACGTGTCCCTCAAAAACCACATGTAAATAATTTAGACATATGGAATTTTAATGCATTAATATATTTTAAAAGAAATATATAATAATTTTTTAAATAGCAGGAGAACATTTTTATGATACTAAGTAGGAATTTAGAGGGTGGTTGACAAGGGTTTATCTAACAAATATATTTTCTTAAATTATGGTATGCCTGTTCCAAATTTACAGCACAATTTCATTGTCAGAAACCTAAGAAGGCACATTATCAGGATTTAAGAGAATTGACCCATACCCATTAGCATGGCAATAACCAACAAAATAATAACAAATATTGGCAAGAATGTGGAGAAGTTGGTGCCCTCATACACTCCTGGTGGGAATGTCATGGTGTAGCTGCTTTAAAAAACAGCATGGCAGCTTAAAAATGGGCACAAGACTAACAGACATTTCTCCAGAGAAGATGTACAGGTATCCAACAGGCACATGAAAAAATGCTCAACATCACTAATCACCAGGGAAATGCAAATCAAAGCAACAATGAGATACCATCTCACACCTGTCAGAATGCCTATCATCAAAAAGTCTACAAATAGCAAATGTTGGCGAGGTTGTGGAGAAAGGGAAACCCTAGTACACTGTGGGTGGGACTATAAGTTGGTGCAGCCACTATGGATAACAGTATGGAGATTCCTCAAAAAAACTAAAAACAGAACTACCATATGATCTAGCAATTCCAGTGCTGGGTATACATCTGAAGAAAATGAAAATACTAATTTGAAAAGATACATGCACCCCAGTGTTCCTAGCAGCATTATTTACAATAGTCAAGATATGGAAGCAACCTAAGTGTATGTCAACAGATGAATGGATAAGGAAGATGGAATACTACTCAGCCATAAAAAGATGAAATTATGCATTTGCAACAACATGAATGGACCTAAAGAGTATTGTGCTTAGTGAAATAAGTCAAAGACAAATACTCTATTATCACTTATATGTGAAATCTAAAAAAATAAAACAAACATATATATATAACAAAACAGAAACAAAGTCATAGATGTAGAAAACTAACTAGTGATTGCTAGCGGGGAGAGGCAATGGGGCACAAGATAGGGGTATGGGACTAAGAGACACTTTGTATAAAATAAATGAGAAACAAAAATATATTGTACACTACAGGGAAATAGAGCCATTATCCTGTAATAACTTTAAATGGAGTATGACCTATAAAAATATTGAATCACTGTGTTGTACACCTGAAACTAATACAGTGTTGTAAATCAGCTATACATCAAAAAAAAAGTATGGCAGTTCCTCAAAGGTTTAAACTGAGTTGCCATATGACCCAGCATATCTATTCCTAAGTAAATTCTCAAGACAAATGAAAACATATATCTATACTAAGTCTTGTATATGAATGTTAGTAGAGAATTATTTATAGTAGCCAAAAAAGTGGAAATAACCCAAATGTCCATCAACTAATGAATGGATAAATTAAATGTAATATAGCCATATGAATGGAACATTATTCAGCCATAAAAAGGAATGAAGTACTGATACATGCTACACCATGGATGAACCTTGAAAACGTTATGCTAAGTGAAAGAAACTAGTCATAAAAGACCATGAATTGAATGATTTCTTTTATACAAAACATCCAGAGTAGGCAAGTCCACAGAGGATGCCTAGGGCTGGGAGAGTTGAGGAGAATGGGAGGTGACTGCTAATGGAGACAGGGTTTCTTTTTGGCTTGATGAAAATGTTCTAATACTGCAGTGATGGTTGCACAACTCTGTGAATATAATAAAATCATTGAATTGTACACTTTAAATAAGATGAATTGTATGGTATGTAAATTATACTCAAGCTGTTATATTAAAAGAAAAAGAATTAACCAACCAACCAAGATCAGTGAGTCCACGAGATAGTAAAAGTTCTGGGAGATAGCAAGGCACTAGGCATTCTCTGTCAGCCTGGCACTATTTGGCTTTTCTGTGAGTTTGAACTGTGGGGTTTGCCCCCATGCTGCCCTCATTCACACATTCCTAAAGTTGCCTTTGCAGTGAGACTCTCGTTTTCTTGTCCTCATGGCCTCTTTCCATCTCAAGGGGACTACCTTACCCCAGATGCAAGGAGGAGAGTTTAAGCCTCAAACACATGTGAGAATCCTGACTCCCTTACATCATAGCCAAGGGACTTTGGGGAAGTAACACGCTCTGTAAAATGGGGACAATGATAATAGTTACTGCACAGGTTGAGAACTGAAGATGTAATGCACGTGAAGTATGGGGTGCAGTGCTTAGCCTACTGTGTATTATTTGTCAACATAACCCATCCCTGACCTCAGTGCTTCCATCATCCCTCTCATACCTGAGCATACATCTGCTTAGAGCGAAAACTAAGAGCTTCTTGCCTATGGCGTACAGCCAGTAACTCCAGGCTTAGCAGTATATTTATAATATCTGTGTAGTTTTTACCCAGAATTTCTAAAATGGATAGGTGTTACTTTTCATGTTTCACTTAATCAAAATTATTCTGAGTATCTAACAGGTGAAGAGAAAGAGAGCAGGACTGGAAGATTATTCCCTTCCGAAGTCAAGACACCTGGATGGCATCTCTCAAATACACCCTGTGATCTGGGTCCCCACAGCAGTTCAGCAGAAAAGTCCAAATTAGGAAGAAGGCAGTCAAGCCACCTCAGGTTCAAATTTCACGTCTCCCTTTCTAGCTGCGTGACCCTGGACACATCACCTAACCTAGCCAACGGGTTGTCACAGTCATCTTATCTACAAAAATTGGAAAAATAATCCCATGTGCCACACAAGGCTGTATACGGGATTAAATGAGGTAGCTCATATAAAGCTTTTGGCCCAGTGCTTAGCAAACAGTAGGAGTCCAATAAATGCTTTTTTAAAAAAATAAGTAGTTTGTGAAACTTTTCTCATCACTAGGAAAAAAGTGTACTTCAAATACACTTGACCCTTGAACAACACTATTTGAACTGCACAAATCCACTTATTGATTTTTTTTCAATAAGGTTATTGGAAATTTGGGGGATATTTGAGACAATTTGAAAAAACTCAGAATAACTGCATACCTAGAAATATCAAAAGAATTAAGAAAAAAATGTCATAAGTGCATAAAATATATGTAGATACTAGCCTATCCTTACATAGGCATAGGTGAGTGATATTTAATATAAAATTAATGTGTTAGTTTTCTTACTGTTTTATAACTTTGCTTTCAAATAATTACGTCACCATACGGTATGCCTCTTTCTCGTAATTGGAGAAACTGTGTATCAGCCTATCATCACAGGTGTTTTATTTTAAATGTAACAAAGTGTGCAATATTGTTTTATGAATATGACCGTGATACTCTATGCCATAAAATTTTTATAATGATTTATTCATTAATGTATGCTAGGCTACCGTGATGCGATCATATCAGTTACACAAGGCCACTGTAAAACAATCACACTGCTGCTGCTTCCCTATCAAGGCATGAATTGCTGTACCTGTAAATGAACATGAATTGCTTTCTCACATGACCTTTTAATTTTTGATGTCTAGTGTTAGTAGTACTGCAGTGTTTTGTATCATGTAAGATGGTATTGATGTAGGTACTAACATGATTCATCTTGTAAACAGACAACATAAACTTACGGTAGCAATAAATACAGTACAGTATTAATGTATTTTCTCTTTCCTATGACTCTCTTAATAACATATTCTTTTCTCTAGCTTACTTTACTGTAAGAATACAATGTATATAATACAGATAGCGTACAAAATATGTATTAATCAACTGTTTATGTTACCAGTAAGGTTTCTGGTCAGCAGTAGGCTATTAGTAGTTAAGTGGGGAAATCAAAAGTTACATGCAGGGGTCGGCACCCCTAGCCCCTGCATTTTTCAAGGGTCAGCTGTATAAAACTGGAGGCATTCTTTAAAAAAAATAACTGAAACAAAATAGGATAGGGTGACCAACCTAGCCCAGTGTGCTCACAATTTTTCCCCCCAAATGAATGGTATTCTTTCCATCTTTAACCCTGGCAGAGGGGTCCAGAACAGACTGACATACATGGATATAGTGAAGATGTAAGAGAGGAAAATTTGAACTGTATACATTGAGGAAGGAAAGAGATTTTTTCACATCAACCTTTCCCTATTTTGCAGTTTCTGAAATGTAGAAACCAAACATATACTTTTCCCGATTTAATTTTGTATGAAGTAATATAACTTTTATGATCATTTGTCTCAAAACATAAAACTGAAGAGATTTTGGCTGCATGATTGTCTGGCTCCTGAAGTCTAGTTATTGTTAGAACATAACAAAAGGGCATTTCCACAAAGCCCTCCTCAACTCAAATTAGAAAATTATTACTTTCATTCAATTATTATTTTCGGTTTTAAAACTGAAAGCTCTGTGTCCCGGCAATCCCCTTAGTCTCAGGCAAACCAGGAAAGAAGGTCAGGCCATACAGACACCAAATTTAAGATTTGAGGATCGTTATTAATAATTAATAGCTTCCATTAGTCTAGTGCTAACCATGGACCTGGCCCATGGATACACATTTCAAAAGCCAAACTCCACTTAAATAATTAGAATTAGCCTGTGCATTAGGTTCTATTTTTAAACTACTTTGAAGGTAAAGAAATGGCAATTTGGAGAGATTAAGTTGCCTAAACCCTTGAAGGAAGATAGAGCTGAGAGATAAGCAAAGATCATTTAAAAACTGTGCTGTGCTGTTTCCCATTAGGCCCCTGCCCCCAGTTACCTCCAGTGACTAAAAAGCGTAGAAAGATTATGGAACACATTGCCCCACAGAGTGAAGATATCAGTGATCTGAAGAGGGTTTTGGTAGCTTCCTTGGTCACAATTAGGGAGTTGGGGATCATAAGGACACGTTCAATGTTTGAGGCTGGTTTCTTGGTTCTCTGCTGGAGGCACAGCACTGGCTGGACTGGAGTGGAGTTGCTCAGGTGGGACTGTTGAGGAGGGAACCTACCTCTTCACATACACCACGTACTTTGTGTCCAGGTAGGTGGGCTTCCCAGTATTCCAGGTGCAAGTCATGTTGCCTGAATATTCGTAAATGACACAGGTTACATTGTCGGGGACATCTGGTGGATCTGCAACAAAATGAATCATTTAGGAGCCACCACAGAAACATAAAGTTCTTTATAAAGTAGTTAGTTGATTAAACTTTCCATTTTATTTGGAAAACCAGGCCGGTCGGCACTCAGCACCTCCCCATTCCATCCCTGCCACCTCATCCTGCAGCCCTCTTTGCTGTCAAATATTGCTACTTTCCTTTGTATACTTTACTATCTTCTCCATCTTTGGGGGATATTAAGGTGATCAAGTTCCTTCCATCCAAAAAAAAAAAAAAAAAGATCCTTCCCAAATTCTGTCCCCTTAGCTGCCAATGTATTTTTCTCATTTTCTTAAGAGCCTTCTTAAAAAAAAAGAAATCTACTGTACTGGTCTTTTTCCTCATCTCCCATTTACTCTTAAACCCCAAACAATCAAGACTTAGACCCACAGTTCCACCAAAAGCACTGTTGCTAAGGTCATCAATGGCTTTCTGATCAATAAGTCCCATGATCTCTTTGCAGTCATTGTAACTCTTGACCTCTGCAGCATTTGCTCTTTTGGGCACTCCCACCTTGAAACCTCTCTGCCTTTTGGCTCCTGTGAAAGGTTCTCTACAGTGTGTTGCTGCTACTCTGACAAATATCTCTTCCTCTGGCATCTATTCCACTAGGGAAATAAAAGTCTGGTGTTTGTACAATGGAGTATGATTTAGTCTTAGAAAGAAAGGGAATTCTGACACGTGCTACAATGTGGATGAACCTTGGTGACGTTATACTAAATAAAATAAGCCAGTCACGAAAGGACAAAGACTGTAGAGTTCTACTTACAGGAAGTATCTAGAACAGTCAAACCCATAGAGACTGAAAGTAGAATGGTGGTTGCCAGGGGCTGAGGGGAGGTGGGAAATGGAGAGCTGCTCAGAGTTTCAGTTCTGCAAGATGAGAAAAGTCCTGGAAATAGATGATGGTGATGATTGCACAGTGAAGTGAATGTATACTTAATGTCACAGAACTCTACACTGAAGAATGATTAAGATGTTACATTTATGTTTTGTGTCTTTTACCACAAAAAATATTTTTAAAATTTTGGCATTCACAGAATTGTATTTCAAGTTTCTCTAGCTCCCTTCTCTCACCCCATCAGCTCTGTCTCTGACTGGTCGTTTTATGGAGAACATCATTAGTTTTTGTCGGCTTTCATCTTTCCCTTTTGACATCTCCCTCACTCCCAGCCTCATCTCCACTCCACCCCTGCCCCAAGGGCTGTCTATCACACAGAAGTCTGCCCTTGACCTAGGCTGACTAATTGGAGTATTTCCCTTGGGAATGAACACATGACTCAAGATGAACCAATCAGAATTATCAAAGGGGCTTGTTCTGGAGCCATCGTTAAAGAGGTGATTTCTCCCCCCTGAACTTGCTGCCTCTGAGTAACGAGAGCTGTGAGTTGCTGAGGGCCATCTTGCTGTCATAGTGAAACAGTCAATTTAAGAATGAAGCCAGTACGGGGGAAAACACAACCCAAGAGATGAGAGAAGATGAGAGAGTTCTGATGACACTGTTGGAGCCGTGAAGCCTCTGAAGACCATGAAACCCCAACGACTACAGGAACTGCGTCTGGATTTTTCAGATACATCATTCAATAATAAAGCACCAAGAATCAAGATCAAAAAAGAAGTGTAGAAATACTGAGTATTTACCAGATACTCACTTTTCAGGTGTGGCTCTCTCAGCCTGTCCTGACATTTGTGATACTGCCTAAGAAACTTGACTACTCAGAAAGTGACAAGAAAAATGAGAGGATGGGGACTCAAAAAGAATAAAAATGCAGACATTTGTGCACCTGAAGTTATAGCTGAAGATTTATCTTAAATACAAATATATTCCTGCACTTTACCTACAAATCATCTACCAAGAACACTATTTATAAAGTCGGAAAAAATATATATGATTAAGTTTATCCTCATTGCAAATTAAAACAATAATAGATGTCATTTAGACCCGTCAAATTGTCAAGGATTTTGAAGAACGCTCATCCACAGTGCTGGAATGGACTCAGAGAAATCTTATAACACACTGCTGGTGGGAAGGCAAATTGCTGCAGTCTTTAGAGAGAGCACTTTACATACCACAGTCTTTAAAAGAAGGAATTATATCTTGCAACTCAGGAATTTTACATCTAGAAATGCATCCTTAACAAAATTTTGTAGTTATTTGGCTAAAAGGGTTTGCCTCAAAGTGTTGTTCATAATAATGGAAGAATTGCAAACACCCTTAATACCTCAAAATACACTCCCCAAATACATCCAAAAACAAAGTTGTGGAGAAGACAATTTTGTATCTTTAAACATCTAGAAATATGTTAAATTGATTATGTAAGGAAGTACAAACCATATGATAAAGTGAAAAATACAGGTTGCAAAATAACATAGTGTAGTGGTCTCATTTGAGAGGAAGTTAGAGAGAGAAAGGTCTGGGAGGAGGAGAGAGAGAGTGAGAGAGAAAGAAAGACAGACAGGAAGAGAGAAACTGAAACTTGAAAGACACTTTCAAAATTACTAAAGAGAGTTTCTATTAGCGGTGAGATTATAGGATTATAGAGATGATGGCTGTTTCTGTTTCATTGGTCCAAATGTTTAGAAACTTTCTACATGAATGCAATTTGATTTTACAATTAAACATATTTTTAAACACACTAAAGTGTTTTAAGACATTTTGGTGAGTTGTAGCATTAACTTAACAATGGGGAGAAACTGGACTCCAAGTAAGATGAAAGAAATTAAAAATGTTTTGAGTCTTAAAGGAGCTAAGTATGGAAACATAAATGTAAATCATTGTGGGTATTGATTGAGTTGGGGTCCCTCATTGCTTACAGTGATTTGTGCTGAAGTTATTTTTTCTTCTGGTTTCAGACAGTGTCATTAATTTGGTCATCATGAAAGGCAACTGTCCATCTTTTGGGCTATGTTATTCCACAGCATTTTCTCTGACACGAATGCTCAGGGTTATGTCAGGCAGTTAATCAACTTTGCAAAAGATCAAATAGATTATATACACATGCAAATAAATGCAGTATTTGTTAATGTGAAGCTATTAAAAGATGAGCTATTAAAGATGAGAATGTGAGTATGGTTATGAGAGTAAGACCGGACTGTTGTTAGATCTCATTGCCAGGTTAGTCAGCGTCCACGGATAAAAACCTCCTGTACAGCCAGGTACCAGAGATTACCCTGCTCTCTCCTGCCGCTCGCATCCCTCCCCTACTTTTGGGGCCCTCACTGTTCACAGGCGAGTTTCTTGTTAATTCAGAGTTCAGACAAGGATTATTTTCTACTGAGAACTTCTTGAAGGCAGAAGCCTCTTCTCTGAATTTCTATTATTTAACACATTTTTTGGTGCATACTAACCACCCCGTAAAGATTATTTCATGACTTGATTGTCTTGGTAATGAGAAGAATTTAAAATAAAGAGAGGGACAATGCTTCTGGAAAAGATCACTCTATCATTCCTTACCCAAGGAGAGTGCAGACTAGCCTATTGTATCACTAAAGATACTCAGTAGCAATGTTAAAGACAAATATTCATGGCCTTAATTGGATAACAAATCTGCTTTCATCATGACATCATCATCAAAGATGGTTAAAATTGAAGTCAAAGGTATTTAAACTTCTAAATAAATGATTAATTGGAAATACGACTGTTCCATGAGTAGTTTATTCTAATTTGGTGTTTTTAAATAAATAAAGACTTCTTGTAGTGTTTTATCCCATGATTGGTGCGACTCTGATAGAACAAACTTTTTATAATATGTGTGCATTTAATCACAGAGAAGAACCTAAGAATTGTTAAAAATTATGGCTAAAAATGAGAATTGTGATAATAATAATTTATACTGTAGAAATTACATATGAAAGTACAGAGCCTTTTAAATATGTTTCGATATCTTTTTAGGGACAGCAAAGACTCATTTATCTTCTCTCTTTTATGATTTGTCTCCAGTCTAAAAAAATACACATCATTTGGTTCAAAATATTGATGATAATCATTTGACACAGTAAAGCTCACAGGATGAATATCCTGTAATCAGTGATCCAGTGAAAGCAATGTGATTTCTAGAATACCACAAAAACCCTCAAAAACCTTTACTTGACCTACTTAAATAGGAAGTTTTGTTTGCTAAGAATGCAGAGTCTGAGAACACAGGGGTTCTTGAATCCAGGGGGTTGAGTAAATTCTTACATGGCAGTTATAATTTCACACTCATAACCCAAGGTCTATGTAAGAAGTTACAAGTCACAAAGCAAGTAAGTGGAAAGAGTAATGTTCTTTCTAAGCAGCCATCAGCAGAGAATATAAGTGCTTCGAATACGTTGTCCTAGAAGGGGAGCAAAGGCCATTCCCTGACCCTAGACATCGCCTGGTGCTTGTGTTTGGGGGCAGAGGGCCTCAGTCCACTCTGAGAGAGCAGTTGGCAGTGATCTGTCGGTAATCTGCAACACAGGGAAGGAGACCATACTTCTTTTGCCTCCTTTCTTCCTCTGGCTTAAATTGAAAACTGTGAAAGTTGCTCATTTGCCCTCCAAAGAAATACTCTCTCAACACCCCAGCCCAACCCCCAAAGGATAGATAGTAAAGAATTTAAGCATGAAGAGTTGTTTAAGCCTGAAGAGTTTCCTGAGGATGTGGACAAGCTAAAAAGGCCTCATCCATCAGATAAGATGTCTACTTGGGGTTTCAGTTCCTACAACTTAGGGCAAGTTTCGCATGTTATTATCAGTTTAAGGCATAAGTTCGCAAGGTTTATTCTTTGACTCCAAAACCTACTAAAATCCTTCCTCAGTTCACTTCTGTCACTTTCCCTTTTGAAAATGATGGAGATCAGGTGCCCAGATTCAAGCAGACAATGGCCTTATTTTAGAATAAGGAATCCTCCTGCTTCTCGGATATCTCCTCTAGGGTTGCCTTGCTCTCCTTACCTAAGGACCAGAGATGAGGAAGAAGAACTCAGATTTGATTCTCAAAAGTATGGAGAAGGGGAGCATGACAAAGACTCAAAGCCCTCTATCTTCACTGAAAATAGGTCCAGATGCCATAGGGAGTCTCTGGGTTAAAACAGTGCTGAACTTACTAGTTTTTCCTTCATAATAGAGGAACCAAGAATTAAATATATAATTATACAAGTCAGCACATATTACTATAATAATTTAAACATCTCCAGAATGTTATGAACACAAATTGAATTTAGCAAATATTTTTTACATTAACTTGATTAAATTTCTCTTAGTAACTGTAGTAACAAATAATGATTTATAGTCGGGGCAGTGACATTAGGAGCAGGGAATTGTAGCAGAATTTCCCCCCATGTTTTATCAAAAGGATGCATTTTAAAGCATTTGGGCACATTGGTAGTGTATTTTCAAGTGTATAATATGCTTTCAAGTAAATTACTGAAATTCAGTGCTTACCAGTATAAGTAGTCTCATTTTACAGATACGGAATTGAGACTCAGACTGGTTAAGCAACTTGCCCAAGGTCACACAGCTGGTAAGAAGTATAGTGAGGACACAAAGCTAATATTGCCAGCTGTTTTTTCCCTTCCTAAATCTTTACCTCAAAATTTCTCAGTCAGATCTGCTTCAAGTTTGATGATATTAATTTGGAAAACGAAAAATGTTGAGTGAAAAAGAGATGAAAGAGCAGCACTTAGAATCTGAGGGTGCTGCCCCTCACATGTGCTGTTTGGTCAGGCTAGTGTTGAAAAGTTGTTTTTTTGAATGCATTAGCAACATTCAAAAAATTTGTAGTGTTCACAATTGAAAATTCACACCCATTTTCTTTTGAAGAATCAAAAGATGTAGGAATACTGGACCCTCCTGCCCTGGAGCTGGACAGAGGCTGTGCCTAGTAGACTATCTGTGTGCTTTCCTCTCTGCGCAGATCCCACCCACCTCCTTAACTCACAAATTTCATGAACCTGGTCTGTGGAAACATTAGAGTCTGTAACTCCTACATTAAACTAATATAAGGAGCAAATTATATTAAATTTTCCTCTGTTTTTAGGCAAGATAGGTAATTACCAGTTAATTGTTAGACTGACTTTCATTTGGATTTGGAATGTACCCCGACACTTACATCCAGAAGAAATGTCTTTTCCACATATCAGTGTCTCTTGAAAATATTCAGGACAGTCTGCAGTGCAGTACATAAAGGCTTGCGGTTCAAGAAAGTTGCTATACCAAAGGCGAGCTGTAGTTTTATTAATTCTTGTGATTTGAAATCTTTCTTTGATGCCATTTTTATAAAAATAAAGTCTCCTTGGTTGGCAGTTCTTAATTGCTGCTTGGCAATATATAGAGATATTCATACCCATCTTAAAAATTGTGGCTGGTTCTACCCAGATGCGGCCAGAGCAGTTTATATTTGTAATTCCTGGAAAAAAAAATAGTTAAAAAAAAAAACTCCATGTAAAATATTAAAACAAGAGATTCAGAAGAATATGCTATTGCGTTAAATTTTTTGTTGTTGTTGTTAGTTGAATGATTTACACTGGAAAAGAGTTTGTAAGGACTCAGTGTATTAGTTAATCAATTAGTTTATTAATAGTATGTTTTTACCATGTTCTGTTGCTGTTCTCTAAGACTAGAGTCAGATTTTAAGCTTTTCTGTCTAAAGAGCAAATACAATTAGCATTCCTATGTTAAAGATGAGGATTGAGGCATTATGAGGCTACCCCGTTTTTCAAAGGTAACACTAGAAATGACAATTAGCACTGCAGAATGCAAACCCAAATCCAAATCTAAATTCTCTAACTACTCAATCAATCTTTCATTCTTTTACAGATAAAGCCTGCTTTTATCAGAAAATTATAAATTTAATGAATAAAATTGTACTGTTACTAATGGCAAAAATTTGTTGCTTGATAACCACTTAAAATCATAATTAATTTAATAATATGGGAAAATGTTCAGAATATATTTTTAAGTTACATAGCAAGTTGGAAAACAACATTTAATATAGGCTCAACGCTAAAAATAACTATAGATGAATGAGTTAAGGAGATACACTAAGATATCAACAATGATAATCTCTGTGTGTTAATGTTTTTCACTACCATGTATATTTTTGTGTTTTAAAATTATATAATGAATGTTTTATTTTTAAATAAACTCAAATGACAAGGTAATGCAACATCAATTAAATTCATATCAAGGAAAATTTATTCTAGGCTTTTTCTGGAAATACTTGTATTAAAATATCTTAAAACCTAATCAAAATAGTGATTATTGAAGGTCAGTATTTGATTTTACAAAGACCTTATTTTTGGAATTCAAAGCTTGAAGAATTAACTTCTTGTATGATATAAATGTAATTTAATGTGTCCATTTATGTAATGAGCATTTACATATAAATTATAAACATTTAAATGTCAAAATAGTGATAAAAACAATTCCATCATTATCAATAGGGAATTGAAGCCAAAGACATGAAAAGGAAGTTTTAAGAAAGCACCTGACTACTTTAATAAGTTCAGCAATTCAAGATCAGACAAACTGCATCTCAAGCACCTCAAAAAAATATGTGGATCCTGTCATGAAACCATTGTGAGCAGTGTTTGAGAATGCATAGAAAATGACAAAAATGTCAGAAGACTTCAGATTTGGACAAATATTGTCCTGGTTTTCAAAAATGGGATAAAGAAGAACCCCAGAAACACAGGGCCACTGAGCTTCACAACCTTCAGGAATGAATTAGTAAGTCAGTGATTTTTCAGTACCTAGGGAAAAAACCAGTAATTAGTAGGAGTCAACACGCATTATATAAGAATAAGTTATATAAAAATGTTAATTTCTCTTTTCAATATGTTAAAATAAGTCATAAATATGATAATTTCTTCTTTTTTTTAGATTGATCAGAAGAATACTAAACAGTATATTTTTATTTCAGCAAAGCTATTGAAAAAGCAGTAACAACATTCTAGTAGAAAACTTGGAAAATGTAGTCTGGATGATATTAAAAATATTCATAGCAGATTGAATAATACTATATGAAATAATTTCTAACAGACAGATGGAAAGTCGGTCTCTAATGCCACATCACACAGGCTTGTTGTGTTTCTCTATGCTTTATATTAATCACTTGGATGTATAAACAGAAGTCCTACTTATAGTTTACATATTTCCGGCTGGAAAAAGTATCTGGTGTCTTATTTCTCCAAGTCTTCTTGGATAGCTGTTGGTCTGACTCTGGAAGTGTCCAGTATTTTGTTCTAGTTCTGTTGGTGGGGCTACATCTGTATCTCTAACATAAATGTATCCAAACCTACAGAAGACAGTTTTGCTTTTGTCACTATTCTGAGTAACCTGCATGATTTGCAAAGCTTCCTTTGAGGTCTAGAACCCTGCCTTGGTGTTGCTTGTCTCCTTGTAAATGAATCCCTGTCACCTGCACAAGACACTATGCCCCCACCAGAAACTTCCAAGTGCCAACACTGCCCTTCTTAAACTTCTGATGGTCTCCTTCCTGGATTCCTCAAAGCTGCCTATGCCTTTGTCATAGTGCCAGATGTTTGTGTAAATTATAAGATAGGAATAATAACAGCACACAATACTACTGCACAAAGCTGTTGTGAGTAACACAAAGCTTAGCACAGCACTTCACACATAGGAACCATCAACAGATGGTTTGTGGAACTGGATTAAATTCAAATATTTTATGAGTTATCATATAAGTTAAAATTGTCTAAAGATAGAACATGCCAAAATAATAAGCCCTTTCATGGATATGTCGACATATGAATTAAATGTCTGTCCATTAAGGATGCTTAATAAAGGAATCCTGCATTAGGAAGAAGGTTGGACTTTGTTTCATTCCACACAATTTTCATGTATGTGGTAATTTTTCCCAATCTAATAATTTTTGATTCTTCAGAGATGCATAATGCCTTGAACATAATAAACACTCACTATTTCATTTGAATAAAAGATAGCAATGGATACTCAAAATACTTTACCTCCATGACACCAGTTGAAGAATATGTAAAGTGCTATGGCCACATCCCATTGAATTGTGACCTGATTCATGTCTCAAAGCAGGAAAAAGCTCTTTGTCGCCCTCTAGGAAACAAATAATGAAAAATGTTTAAATTGTAATATTTTAATGAAATAATGATTAACAAAGCATAACCTTTTTTCTAACAGTTGTTTTTGATGAGAACCTTTGGTTAGGAGACCTTTGGTTAGAAGAAAAGAAAGAAGGAAGGCAGGAGGGAAGGAAACAAGGCAAAGAAGGGTCACTGGTATGTAAGGAGGTACAATACGGGTTGAGGAGAAAAGCAAAAGGATAGAATTTTATCCCCTTCCAAAACCACTGTGAATCACCTTACCAAGACATTTTGACCCTTGATAAAGTATAATTCCTCCTAATCTAGTCTCTCGTCAGAAATCTCTTTCTGCTCTAATTTCTGATGCTCAGTTCTCCAGGCCGGGTTTACATGCCTGTCAAGGTCCAGAAATATCCATCTTTGATGAGTAAAACTTGGGTAAAGCCAAAAATATCAGAACTTCGAGAGAAAAAGCATTCAAAATGAAGAAAGAGGAAGTGAGGCAAAGGCTTTTATGTACTATCACTAGTGAAATTTACAGAACGCCGTTTTATCTGTAGAGAGCTCAAAAGAAACACATAGAAATTCCAAGCAATATTGCCATTAGTTTACAATTGGAGTTACATTAATCAGTTAATTAGCTACTCCTATTAATGAATAATTCAGTTACTCAATAATCAGTGTTAGTCAGTTATTTTTAATTTAGTAAAACCTGAGCCTTTCATTTAAAACAGCAAAACTCATGACTCATTAAATAGCACAAGATATCGGATAACATTTTTAAAAGTTGGGGTCCCCATAACTTATGAAAATAAGAATCCTTTCATAATTTGTTAACAATAGTAGGTCTTCACTTTATAAATAATAGGCAAAACATGCCCTAAAATGCTCCTGATTAGGAGTTAACTACACACCAAATAGAATATATGCAATAATATTTAAAGCAATGTGATGCCAGACAATGTTACAGATTCAACTTTTATCAGTAACCACTATATGAAATATCACAAGAACTTACAAGAGAAAACAGCTTAGCCCATGTATTTCCAAAAGGAAATACAGCTGGGTTTGAGTATTTGGATGATCATTGTCTCTTTACCTTCCAACCTGTTTGAAGTGCATCATTCCACCTCTGAGCCAGGCTGCTGCCCTTGTCGCCGGTGCCACGTCTTCTTCCCTCACTGCTTGCCTGTCAATGATCACTTCAGATTTTCAGCCACGAGGCAAATGGAAATGTCAGCAAAGCCCTGACCTACATTTCAGATTCTTGAAGAGGAACTCAAAACTGTCCAGCTCAAAATGACTGGCTCTTTTGTCTTATGTCACTATCTGGGAAAACCCAGATTACTGAAAGTGGACTGCCTTGTCAGTACTTTTTTTCCTCTGATCTTACTTTAAAATTATCTTTGTCTCATTCAAGAAGTAGAACATATATATACGCTTTATCTAGGAAAATCTTTGGCACCAAAAATAAGATGCTCAGTTTTAATTTGCAACCAACATTCATATCCACTATAAACCTGTTTCTTAAGAAGAGAAAATTTAAATGCTATTCTTGACCATTTATGTATTTAACAAGCATTTTGAGCATTTAATACATGCCAGGTATTGTTCTGGGCATTAAAGATATAATGGTGATTAATTATAGAACAGCTCCTTTATTGTATTGCTATAGTGATGAAAATACAGTTCAGTGGCTTTGAACTACTGGTCATAGTTTAGCAGAATTCTATGACCAAATTAAAAATTACCAAATTATTTGGTTGGTTTATAGTAAGCATCACCAGGGGCATTTCCTGGGGTTCCTTTTCTTCCCGCCTCCTTTATTCGTTCCACGTGAATATCTTTTCACTCTATGTACTCCTTTCTATTGTGAGTGACAGTTAATTTACTTATTTCCTCCACAGTGAATCTCTTGAAGTCAGAAACTTCATACTGTCTTTTTAATGTTCAGTATCTTTAGTACCTAGCACATTAGAATACTCTGGGGGAATATTTAAAACATTCCTATGTTCAGATTCACTGTACACAATGAAATCAGAATTTCTGTGGGTAGAAGTTGGGCACAGATATTTTTTAAAAGCGCTACCCCAGGTGATTATAATGAAAGATCAGGGCTGAGACCCACTGGAATACACAGGTAAGAGTGTCTTTATCAACTGGGTTTAATAATTAGTAACAATTTTCTAAACTGTGAAGGACAGGGCATGGGAAAACATTTCACATGCTGAGAACAGAAGGTGCAAGCGATACAGATGTTTTGGGACTGGCAAGCTGTTTCTCCAGGTTGAAGGGAAAAAAATTTGAGCTGGAAAATTAGGTCAGTGGCAGAATGTAATGGACTCTGTATTCCTGCTAAGCAGTGCCACTTTATTTGGAAGTCAGTCAGAGATAGCAAAGATTGTTAGGCAGAGAAATAGGTAATCAGATTGAATTCTAGAAAGATAATTCTAATTATTGTGTGGAGAATTGAATGAAGATGAAGAGTCCAGTTAGGAGGCTATGGAAAAAGCAAAACTGATGAAGGTCTAAAGCAAAGCAAAGGCAGTGAGAACTGAGAGGAGGAGACACAACTGAGAGTTCTGTGGAGGCCGACTGGACAGGACTTGTGCAGTGAACAACCTGTGCATGGGGGTTGAGAGTCCAGGAGCGTGAAGATGGACTCTGGTGGCTATTTTTGCTGACCCAGTAGATAACAGCATTAACTGAGCACACAAAAGGAGTGAGGGTGGGGAGTGAGGAGTTTGGTTCTGGTCATGGTGACTTGGAGGGGCTTACAGCATGTTCAGAGAGAACTGTCTGGTAGGCTGTGGTAGACATTGCTAAACTTGCAAGAGAAGTTTGATCTGGAGATCTAAATTTAGAATATTTCAGCATGTCAATAGTATTAAAAGTAAGATTAGAATAAGAGAACTCAGAGAGAACATCCAGAGAGATAAGGGAAGGGAGTTGGTGCCAGAACCAGCAAATCTTGACCAAAAGGCAAGAAGATATACAAGGAGTGTGTGACCAGTGTCAAACGGTCAGAGATTGAACATGATAGGAACTAAAAGGAAGTGTTGGGTTTGACAAAAGTCAGTCTTCCCTGAGAACAGTTTCAGAAAAGAAATGAAGGTAAGAAGGGAGACTGCAGTGAGTTAGGCTAGAAAATAAAGAAGACATCTCTCAGGAATTTGGACAGTGGAGATGAGATTGATGGACAGCTCAGTGCAAATCAGGATCCATTTATTTATTTTAATGGGGGCTGGTGGTAGTTCTTAACCATCTTTTCAAACATGCTTGCCATGTGCATCTCTTTGGTGAATAGTATGTTCAAATCTTTCTTCCATTCTTAATGGTTTATTGTTTTTCTTGTTACTGAGTTTTGAGAGTTCTTTATAAGGCTTGGAAACCAGTATTTTATCAGATACCTGTTTTGCAAATATTTTGTCCTAGTCTGTGGCTTATCTTTTCATTTTCTTATCAACATCTTTTGAGAGAATTGTGAAATTTTGATTAAGTCCAATTCATTCATTGTTTTAATGATTATTTTTTTTTGTCCTGTGAGCCTCTGCTTACATTTTTATCAATGGATCAATACATAATCTTGTTTTATGTATGATGTGTGTTTCTGCTTAAAGACACCTTATTTAATCTATACTGTTGGCCCATTAACATAGAACCCTAACAGCACTGCACTATAATTCATGCCTGAACAAAGCTTAACTAACATGGATGTTCTTTGGGTGGTTTTTTTTTGGGGGGGGGCCTTTTTTTTTAATTGAAATGTAGTTGATTTACAATGTCATGTTAGTTTCCAGTGTACAGCATAGTGATTCACTTATACATACATATGTATATTCTTTTTCATATTCTTTTTCATTATAGGTTATTATAAACTATTGAATATAATTCCCTGTGCTATACAGTAGTACATTGTTGTTTATTTTCTATATAGTAGTTTGTAACACAGATGTTCTTTATAAGGTGCATTGCAGACTTCTTGTACTTAGGAACACTAGACAGTACTTCAGGACTATACTTGGGGGGCATTTTAAACCGCATATTCAGCAAAAGGTACATGTGAAAAATATAACACTAAATAGACTTCAGAAAGGACACTTGTTTACAGTATGAGGGCTGAAACAAGTTCCTTAGCAGGGAACTTGCACATGGGGTGACTCAAGTCCTTCACCATTCTGTAAATCTTTGCAAATGACCAACAAGGTGCTGCAAGAATTGATTCTGTTGTTACAAACAAACTTTAGTTAGTAGATAAATTCACAAATACAGAAGCAGAAGGATGCAAGGATGCGGATCAACTGTATAAAATCTCATCTGTAGGTAGTTTGACTTCATTTGCTAATCAGAAAGCATCAAGACTCATTGTCTTCGCTTTCACCCCATAGGCAGAGTTGCCATCTGGGTGCCCAGGACAGTCAGATTTAAACTTGTTCCAGAGTAATTATATGTAACATTGCATTTTATTCTCAAAATTATTCCAGTTTGGAAGATATATTGGCACCCTCTTATAAGCCTGCAAATAATAAACCTTGTTTATTTCCTAAAAGTCACACAATTTCAAATTTTTCTCTAGCATTTGTTTAAAGTATGGAATAGTTGTTGGCTGAGAGGTATAAAAGGGTGACTGAGTGTAAATGCATGAGCTTGAAAACATATATTAAATTAGCGAGTATATTTTAAGTTAACACACATCATCAGGGTAAGTACATTATAATGCAACATTTAGATTTTTTTCCCAACTCTTTTTTTTTAAATACACTTTAGGCGAAATACCGGGGCCGGGGTGATAAAAGAAAAAACCCGCAGAAGCCGCGCTCCTGGTATTCAGGAGTGGAGGCACCTGAGCAATGCAGAAATCGGACTCGGGCTCGGCAGGCATGCTGGCGCCCTGGGCGTGGAAGATTGGGGTCCCAGGCACTTTCCAGGGAGGCTGCGGCGCCTCCGGGCACCCCAGACTCCCAGATCGAGAAGGAAACAGCTAGAACTGTAGTCCTTATGCAATTGTGCTTTTCTATAAATTTACCTGCCTATTGTGGATTGAAAGTATCTCCAGTTTCCCTACCCAGAGGCAACAGATATTGCAATAAACTGACTGACTACTATAAGGAACTACTTGAAGTGGATTGATTAGGATCCCCCAGTTTAAGAAGTATAGCTGGACCAAGACCTGGAATTTTAAACTGTTGCCTAGCAACACTGGTCGACTCATTGGAGAGCAGGCCTACAGGGATCTGTCTTCAGGACTCAGATGCTACATATGGGTGGGAATGAGCAGAACAAGGAGTGGCCTGTTGATCCCTGAAATGGCAACTTAGTGACTCCCTGATTCTGAATAGAGGTGGAAAACCTACCACCTCGGTATAGGGAATTGACGGCAGCCCCAGCACTGTTAAATGAGCCTGGTTTAGGGCAGATAATCTGGTTAGAGAGGAAGACTAGGGAACTGCCTTGAACTCGTGCTTGCATAAGAGGTACACTGTTTATACTTAGATTACTGCATTTCTTTGAAGTGGCTTTAGTAGGGGAGAGTGTCTGAATATTATCATGTGTGAAGCTCCTAAGCCATCCCTTTGAAGGTACCACAGAATATGGAAATCCCATTAGGGTGACCTGATTTGAGAGGCTTAAAATTTTGTGCCAAAGTAATCTAGCAATTCTGTATGGAATAGGGAAATCAATATTATGGGAGGGCGGGGAGCCTGAGGGGTGGTTGGATGACTTGTCTTTTGAAGGCAAGAAGATGGCAACAGCTTCATTTCGAATCAGCCGCATTTGAGAAGGCCTACTGTACCACAAGGACCAGAGTGTGGCTGCATCCCTCCCCATTCCCTGCCCAGGACAGGACACACATCCCCTTCCTCCTTGGGCAGTCACAAATCGACCCAAGATAACGAAAGAGGGCCTTTAAAATGTTTGAAACGATTCCCCAATTCATGGTAGAATGAAACTCTAAGTATTTAATAGATGTTTGGCTAGGAAAGTGGTTTCGTCCTCCCAGTTCCTTCTTTAAACAACCAAAAGAGAGGCAACCGCATGTGTGAGCCCCCTGAAACTGAGGACAAGAGAAGAACAGCCCACTGTGACTGCGAATGGACTTGGGCAGTGAGCCACCCCTTGGACCTATTTAAGATTATTTCTGTATCTACTGCATCAAGGAGCTTGATCCTGGAGTAAAGAACTCTTGTGCGCTCTTCAATATAATGTAGATTGTAGGTGCCATTGAAGTGAAGACTTAGTTGGATAATTGCTGCCCTGCCTTCCAGTTGTTACAGGCCTAACAAAGGGGCTGCATATTCCTTAAGTGCCTACTGTGTGCCAGCATAGACCTGCTTGTGACTACAGAAGAGGATGTGAATGGCTTTTGAGGACCCTGAATTG